TATATATACATATATATACATATATATATATATATATATATAAATACATATATACATATATATACATTTATATACATAGATATACATATACATACATGCATACATACACATATACATACATAATATAAATACATACATATATATATATATATATACACTGTATATACTGTATATATATATATATATATATACACACCTGTAAGTAGTATGAATACTTGCCCATTATGATTTTAAATATATAAATTACTAGATTAAATAATATACTAGTACATTACTAGATTATATTATAGGCAATGTTTTAATAATTTAATTTTAAATAAATGGAGGAGGTACATGGAACACGCTGTGAAAATCTAAACAAAATATCTCATTACTGGGCTATCCATTGACATGGTTATACCATCGTTGGAATGGAATATAATCCATTGAAAATGAACGGCACTTTTAATCATGCCTCATCAGTCAATAACGATCTTCATCATTACCATATGGACAACGGCGTCTACAAGTCTAGATAACAATGACAGTTGCCATCCCATGGTAAATCGCGAAAAAAGAAATCCACTCCACCCCCATTAAATACGACTGTCGGCCTACATTTTACGTAATTAACATCTGATCTAATATATTACGTACCTAGGCCTATGTGGTTGGCTACGGATAGCTAAGTGTAGAGTACGAAAAGCTAAAAAAATTCATAAATGTAAAGGAAAATCATCCTAGAGCAATGCTGAAAAGCTACCGTCTCAATAGAACAAAAATTCCATGTGGGACCTTGCTATCATCCTCGTCATATCAACCACACCATAGTGCGGCAACACGAGATGTGCTATACATACACTCATCGCTACTGACCGATTTGAATGTGTAGTTTAATACACATAACAGCAACTTGTAGCCTACATTTATTTTCTGTAGTATCTGATCTAGACTAGGGCCTATGCCTACACACACGTACGTACCCAGCCAGCCTATTCGTCTTCGTCAGGCCAGCCTGCATTACAGTACATTGACACGAAATGTGCTGCACACATTCACTCATCGCTAATTAGAATTTGAATATAATGTGGTTTAATACACATAAAAGCAACTTGTAGCCTACATTTCCTGTTCTGATCTATTACACACACGTACTACCCAGCCAGCATATAGGCCTAGTTCGTCTTCCTCTAGCTCTAGTCCAGCCTGCATTACAGTAGTGTACATTGTTTATCTCTCAGGGGAGAAACCACCCACCCTTGCAAGCACCACAAAACGGCTCATTCTTCGCTGCCAACTAGACTCGTGCAGACGCATTTATTAGCCGCAAAGCTTACCATTCCAGGTCGTGATTGGTTGATAAACACAATGTGGAATCAGGCGATTTGTAAGCTGATCAATGACGAACACGCTTTCATATGAAACCCACCGTAGTGTTAAGAAATATGATAAAAAAACATACTTTTCACATATTTCCCAACAATATTTACGCAAAAACTCTTCATACTTTAAATTCCCCACGCCTTATCTTCCATATTATTGCAAGATCGGCCTAATCGCGTCACAAACGAAGGAAGAGATAGAAAAACAAATGATTTCAAAATTTGCTCAGAATCATCATATAAACTCTCTCTCAGAGAGTGGGCTAAAAACTAATCTTGGAATGCTTTACAGAACAAATATGTCTTCAGTTGACTCACTGACTGTGCATTCTTAATGCGATCTGGAAGAGAATTCCAAAGTAATGGAGCTGCATAACATAATAATGCACAGTGACCATATGAGATGGTGTTCACTTTAGGAGGGAGAAGCCAATTCTGTGAATTAGAACAAAGACTACGAGAGGAGGTTTGTGGGGTAAGGACATTATCAATATATACTGGTGCAAGGCCATGGAGAGACTTGTGAGAAGCAAGATTTCAAAGGTAACAAGCTCCTTCACTGGAAGCCAGTGTAGTTCATGCAAGATAGGTGTTATGTGGTCTCTACACTTTGTTAGACACACAGACGAGCAGCACTAATTTATATCATCTGTAACTTCCTGAACAGGGTGGGTAAAGCGACATGAAGACTATCATGGACAAGTAGCATAGTTGTCTCCTTGTCCAGAAACCTGCAAATTTGTCCGATCTTCATAATACGACATATAGCATTGATGTTAACATCCATCCGTAAATTTGAATCCATATAAACCCCAGATTCCAAACTTCAATTGATGGCTTAAGTTCTAATACATGGTAAAAGATGGTTGCAATGGCAAAGATTTCTGGAAGCATGAAGTAATGTGGATAAGCTGTCTTGTGTATGTTAAGGACAAGTTATTACAGTAGATGTTGACCATGTATGTAATTCTTTTAGACATAAAAAGATTTAAACATTGCATCATGAAAATTACATGCTGTTATCATTCCCTTTACCTCAATACCCGTTTCAGCAATAGCTCTGACGGGTTGAGGAACCTCACTTTGCACTGACAATCAAACTCAATATCAAAAGAGAGAGTCGAAATGTTAATTAGTTTTCCAGCAAGTTGTCAATAAATCACATAGGCATACCTATGGTATAGTATAGTATAGCTGACCTTGCATAGGCAATAAATTACAAAAGCAATGATTATAATCCAATTAAAGAGCAATTACCAGAGAAAGGCCTAATGTCCCAAAAGATGGTTGGAAATCAGGAAAATTTTTAAAGGGTAGAAACATCTCATGACAAGGTGCAAAATCTAAGTAGAGCTGCATATCGTCGGCATAGAACATGCAGTTAAGATCAATTAATGATTCAAGTGGGGCGGTGTATAAGATGAAAAGAAGGGGTCCAATAATGGATCCTTGAGGCACACCACTTGATAAACTGCCCGATGAAGATGAAATGGAACACACTTTAACGGCATATCTGTGAGAGACTAAATAAGACTCAATCCAAGAGATGACCTTGCCAGAGAGACCATACAGGGATTTGAGACGATGAAGCAGAAGGCGTGGTTAACAGTGTCAAATGTAGCGGAATAGCAATAGGACTAAAAGTACTTCATGACAGATATCAATGGCCCTAATCAAATGGTTGTGCACACGGGCAAGGGCCGTTTCTCTGTTGAATAACATGAAACACCAGTAGATGTCTGCCATCAAATAGGACCACCCCGGACGAACCGCCTTTTTCAAGAGTAGGCATGGATTTGTTTGGGCCTTTGGAAGTAAGTAGGCCGGAGTCAAGGCCATTCACATAGAAATGGCTACTCTCTAGATACAGACAAATGCATCAACGTAATTAGGAGACTTATTGCAAGACGTGAAGTTGTGCAGCAAATCCGCTCCGACAATGGGACAAACATAGTGGGCGTAGAAGGGAGATTTGCAAGGAAATGAAGGCGTGGAACCAGAACAAAATATATGAGTGCATGCTACATAAGAGCATACGGTGGATATTCAATCCACCGGCTGGGTCTCACCATGGAGGCATTTGGGAGCGGCAAATTAGGACAATACGTAAAATCATGTTTTCTATTGTAAAGGAACAAACTTTGACAGACGACTCTCTGCAGACGCTGTTATGTGAAATAGAAGCAATAATTAACAATAGACCAATAACGACAATATTTAGCTGATTTGTTTTGGCGTAAATGGACGAAAGCGTACCCCTCGCAGTTGCAAAAAAGACAGAAATAGCTTCGCCACAGAGGAAATGCCCGGGTTGGAGACATTGTATCAATATTCAATGAATCAACACCTATAAACATATGGCCTCTTGGTAAAGTGATAGAAATTATGCCAGGCAGTGATGGATTTGTTCGACCAGTACGTGTGAAAACCAAATCCAGCATTTTATCAGACCAATCAACAAATTGTGCCTGTTGCTTGAAGCTGATGTACCAGAACAAACACCAGCAGAGAAGTTGTCGACAAAAGAGGCGAGTGAGGCCTAAAGAAAAAAGGTCCCTACAAAAGAGAAAAATATTTTGTTAATGGTTGTACCGGCTTTAAAGCAATGGCTAGACCTACGCCTGTTTTTATTTATTGTCCAATATACCGCAAGGTAATGAATACTATTTTTGATTAAGCAACCACTTACTTACTTACAGTAGTAAAGAATAGGCTAGGCCTAGATCTGGTCGTGACTTGACAGCTCAGCGCGAAAAATCCGATGTTATGTGCATATATTGTCGTCGCGCAAAATGCATATATTGTCGTCACGCTTGGTTCTCCAAATTATGCCTTCTATTTTCACGATTTTACGTGTGCACCTAGGTCTATGGTCCGATTGATATAAATACATGTCTCTGTCAGATTTTATGTTCTAATTAATGTTAATTTTGGTAGTGGTTTTTCTCGAATTTATAAAAAAAATGCAGAACCGATTTTTTTGAAAAATTTTGGTCAGTCGCGGAGGGCAACACAACATTTTTTTTTTTTTCGGCCTAAGATCAAATGCTATATCAGCCAATCATATAATAGATTGTTCAGGATTTTTATATTTTTAATTAGCAAAAACAAGATAACGATCTTACCAAGTAATCTTTCAATATCATCTATAACAACACAGCTGAGTTGTGATTTGTAAGCATCTTCAAAGACCTGAAAAAGTCATGTTACACATTATCAGATATTACAGCTTGTTAAATGGTGTGTATAATAAATGGAGAACATTGGTTAGCTTGTTCACATAACTCTTTCATTTTCAAGTTATTTTCCCTGAATCCCTGAAAAAAATGATATTTTTGCTGATTTTCGGGTGGCAGTTTCATCATGTGGGCAATTACATCTTTTAAGAATGAGAGATAAAAGAGCTCTAAAAATTCCTTCTTTTTGACCATGCCGACGTGATCAAAATGAAAAATAAAGGGACATGTCCGAAAAAGAATTGATTTAGCTATAGAATACTCACAGGTGGGAGACAATCAATCAAGATAAGCGAGATACGTTCAAATGAGTATAAAAAGTAATGACGTTATAAATAATAATTCAGTTTTTTCTTAATTCAAATGGCAATATGATGACGTCACAATGTCCGATCAGCCATTATGATCTATAAAATCGTATCTACAACTCATGTGCTTTCAGAAAATGTAATAAAAATTGGGGGTCACCTTTCATCCTAAGGAGTTATAACTGATTAAAAATATTCATGGTTTTATGCATATATAAATGTTGACGCACACGTACGTGCACGCTAAAAAGCGCGAACGGAAAATTAAGGTACCCAACATTCAAACTTGACCTGAAGTTTATGCTTACCTAATATGATTTAGAAATGACGAATGGTTAAGATGACATGGGCTCATCAACGTTTTGAGGAAAGAAAGATGAGGGGGGTCAGAAAAATTTTTTTTTTTTGACCATGATAACATCATCAAAAAGTAAAAAGAAGTCACATATTTGAAATAAAATTGTCTCAGCTATAACATACTTAAAGTTGGAAGACCATCGACCAAGGATAAGCAAGATGCGCTCAAATGTGAATTTTCAAAAATGACGTCATATTTACAACATATGTGCTTTCAGAATATGTAATAAAAATTGGGGGTCACCTTTCATCCTAAGGAGGTATAATTGATTAAAAATAGGCCTTACTTTAGCATATTTTCACTGTATATCGGCACAAATCCCAGCAAAGATCCCTATGTTTGATGCGCACCTACGACATTGCTATAGGCCATAAGATGACCGAAAACAATGGTAATTTGTGAAAACAATTTCAGAAACCCAAAATATGTAAAAGAACCTAATTTCTAGCTTCCATACGAAATTCCATATGAAATTTTGACGCACACGTGCGCGAGCGTTGAAGCGCACTCGAAAAATTAGGGTACATTACATTCAACATGGACCTGAAGTTTATGCTCACTTAATACGATTTGAAATGGCAATTGGTTAGGCTGATATGATCGATAATGTAAAAATGCAAGATGGCGCGTAGATGACGTCACGCACGACTGAGCGCGTTGAAAAGCTTACCATGACTATTCCTGACCAAGCCAATGTTTGTTGAAGTGCGATTGTACGTAACTCGTGGCATTTTTTGAGATATCGTGTGAACAAACAAGGGGAGAAAGAAAGAACTAGATTTGAACTCGTCACTGAGGACGAGTTAGGTGATCCGCCGTACTTTGACCCTCACGAAGCACGCGCGGTTCTGATTGAAAAGTATAATATTCTAAAAATGCTCTATTTAAAGAGTAATTTTGAGCATTTTAAAAGGAATTTTAAAGAAAAAGAGTAATTTTGAACATTTTAAGGACTTACGAATGTGTACACATACGTCTTAACGTCCGTGCGCAC